GTGTGTGTGTGTGTGTGTGTATCTCTCTCTCTATATATATATATATACACATTATATACATATATATATATACATACATGTGTAGTAGTCTGAAGGGGCAGCTTGAGGATTACATGGGGATGATTTTGCAAACCTCCCTCCTCCGAGGAGTCGTCGCTGTCGGAGAGATCGACTGTTCCGTCCTCGTCATCTATCCTTGGGGAGCTGCTAGCCTCTAAGGTTTAGGGTTGAGGGTGTAAGGTTATGCTTTAGAGTAGTCTATGGGGAGTGACACCATTGTTTAAGCCTGATTAGCAGCTACAATGGCCCGGTATCTTCAAGCTGTTGAAATGACTTGGCCAGAAAAAACAAACTTTTTGTAATAAGATTACTAGTAACCCGGAAAGTGTAAAGTCGACCTACACAGCTACTACGGTAATCCCCTCAAACCTTTCATAGATGATATGTGCTTAATCGCTTTTGGGGGCTTTTGGGCTATACTTTAAAAAAACAAACATAGAATAATTCCTAAGGGGATGGGAGACTAGGATCTTATATCGTAGACCAGTGCCGAAGTAGAGAATGGAGGCCCAGGCCAGGAGACCAGCCATGGAAAAGCAGGAGTAAACAATGAACAGAGTTGATATGGAAAATTTGAGCTTGCCAGAACCTTAGTTGAGCTTGTTTTTTGCAGCGCCTCTTTCCCGCGCAAAGGTAAAGGCAGTTGGAAAACGTAGTCTAGGGCTTAGGGTAGAGAATCGAAAGTCAAATGGAAAAGCTAATGGAACATGGAAACATGGAATGCAAATTGGAGGGATATGTATGGTATGGCTTGTTGGGTGGCATGTATGAAAGCAAGGAATGAAAAAGCGACATCTGTACATTCTTGAGGAGTCTAAAAGGGCTACTCTAGGGATCCATTCGCGACTAACCCCTAAACCCTAAACCCTATATAGCCTGCAAGGAACCAGGATGTGGATTCTGAGCCTGTGCCACCAGGGTGGCAAACAAGCTGGAAAGATCTGTGCCTGCTCGTACCGGAGCCACAAGCCAGCCAGCGTAGAAAGTTGCTATGACCTAGGGTGTAGGGTTTGGTGTTTATCCGTATTAAAAGGAGTGAGGGAAGGGCAAAAAATGGAAGCTACTACTGTATATTCTTGGGATTATATGCAGCCGCCTTAATTCACTACTAACAAGAGGCAAGCGACTGGGAAGAGCATGAAGATTGTGGCATTGCCCACCAACTGGGCAATGATGTCCGAAGCCATGAAGAAGTTGTACTCCGGGGCATCAGCTTTCCAGAACAATGCGAGGAGTATGCAGAAAGCCGCATTTAGAATAAGAAGAAGTACGATTATGACCTGCTGAGCACGCAGGGATAGGCAGTTTGGGTACAAGAAGTTCCACAGGAAGTAGAGGGCACCCGTGACCAAGCCAACGATGCCTTGGTTGATGCTAAATCGGCCAAAGGTCTTGCCGTCCTTTGTAAGTGCTGGCTCATTGGCCATTGCATTGAACAAGGCATTGATGAGAAGCCACCCACAACCAGCTCCAACTAGCAGGAAGATCAAGTAGGTCTGGAAGGAGCACAGTCCTGCGAGATTTTCAATCGTCTTCCGTTTACGTATGGTTTTCTCCTCCATCGCGCACCTTTGGGTGGTTCTACAGTCCTGCGATTAAGACAAGGAGCCAGAATGCTGCTGTGCCCTGCGCTGGGAGCCATGTGCGAGGGTTTTGTGAAGCTGTAGGCCCCTTTTTTGGGCCCAGTCTTCATGGATATCTAGCGACACTGCTATTTTGCAAACATCATGTTTCCGTGTCGGCATCGTCAATTCCAGTCCGCACTGCCGGTCTAAAATGCTAGGTAACGCTACCTTACGGGTGGGTAGTCGGGAATACTGGAAAATCTCATTCGAGGAGTATGCGGGACTTATATTCCCTTTATTCCCTACCAACCACCAGTAAGCTACACTCTAAGCCCTAGCGCCTACATCCCTGAAGGCCCGCAAGAAGCACCGGGCTACCCGCCACGAGCAGCAGAAACTCAGATCCCGGCGTGAGCTTAACTCTAAGGTTGTAGGGACCTGTCGCTTGAGGAGTTACGTTTAGGGTTTAGGCTTCATGGTTCAGGGTTTAGGGTTGACATTATTGGGGTAATATCCTTATATATAACCCCAGTATAGTAGTTTTCATGTTCTTTTCCTTTATCCCTATATAATAATCCCTATAAGAATATAATACTTTCCATCTTCTTTTCCATTATCCCATTTTAACCTGTTTAGGGTCTAGTCGTAGGAGTCCCTGGGATTCAGGCTTTAGGGAGTCCCTACTGATGGTTTAGGGTATGGCCAGGACCATGGTATTTTTGGATCTGTACCAAGGACTGGCCAGCATGAAAGAGGGCAGGGATCTCAAAGGAGGCGGAGCCAACTGTGGACAAACACGTCACGATGCCCTGCTAGCCAGTGTGCTCACAGCGATGGCAAGAGGTCAACTGCAATCCTGCAGTACGGCCAGCATAGCAGAAAACAGATGGTGGTACCGGCCTCCAAGCGCACAGTAGGGTGCAACCATTGGCATTGCGTACAACACCTCATCCTGCCCACTTGAAGGGAACTAGGGCTTAGGGGCGTGGGGTTTAGGGAGGGTTTAGGGCCCAGTACGAACAGGGACCATGCTTTTGACAACCTACCATGTATGTTTACCATTACCCCGAGAGGTTACAGATTGCCTGCAGCTACTAAGCATAAAGGGAATGAGGAACATATTTTGGTAATTTCCAAAGGCCTCCACTTGAGGATAGCTATGAAACACCCTATCAGCAAGACTTCAAGGTTCAAGGTGAGGTAAAGGAAGGTGGGGTATACAAAAAAGCCCCAACATAGTGGAGTCTACAAGCAATCCGTTAGCCCACCTACCTTCACCCCACCTTTTGAGCCCCTCAACCTATACCCTTGATGCGCACTACAGTCGCGCACTCTCCTCCGGCTGTGGCTGTCCCGTCAGAAGATCAAGCTGTAACGGCTGCCTCAGAAACTCGGAAGCTTACGTCCGCACTGCAAAAAAGCAAACTGAGCTTGAGGCTATAGAGTACAGGGCTGTGGTATTTGGGTTTGTGGTTGAGGCTGCTTTTGTTTCGGGGTGAGGCTCAGGGCTTTAGGTTGCTCAAGCTTGGGATCATGGTCTGTTGGGACAATGCTACAGAATCCCTAGGCTGCCCAGTGAACATTGTCTTGGGAGAGCTCTTAGCAGATGGTAGGGTTTAGGGTTGAGAGTTGAGGGTTTAGGGTTAAGGGCTTCAGGTTGAGGGTTCAGGGTTTAGAGTTTAGGGTTTTCAGAGGTTTAGGGTTTGGGGTTTCAAGTTGGGCTGCAGGGTTTGGAGTTTAGGGCTTCAGAGGTTGAGGGTTTGGGGTTTGGGGTTTCAGGTTGAGGGTTTATGGTCCAGGACTTAGAGTTTAGCCTTTCAGGGTGAGGGTTGAGGGTCAATGGAATGAGACTGTACCTGTAGCGCATCGGACCTTAGACGGTGGTGCTGCTTCTGCAGCAACAGGTACTTGCCAGCAAGTACTTGGCCCATACCTGACATGGAAACTCATGCCTTTCGAGTCCTCGTTTGCTTGTGCATCCTGGATTCCCGTAATGAGAGTATTATACTTGGATGTTCATGGCCCAACTCAGGGACTACGCATACCAAGGCTATAATCCTCGTTTCAATTCGGGAAGCCCACATACGGCTATTGAAGGGGCGTAGTCACGGCTGCAAACTCAGTTAGAAGTAATCGCTGAGTCCTCCTTCAGGTACAGATATAATCCTTGATAGAGATAGTTGTGAGATTAAACTCCTTCTACCACGACATTTACACCCCAAACCCTAAACCCTAACAAGCAACTCTATAAAGTGCCCCAGTACGGTACTAGCATGATGAAGCGCCAAAAAGCTTGCAAAGCCTTGCTTGACAAAAAAAAGGCCAGGGTGATCAGCGATGCTTCTGGACTACCTGTAATCGTCAATCACCAGTCTTGGATTTAAGGTCAAGGCCTTAAGATTCGAGGTAATAGAACAAGAAGGCTAAGATTCACTGCCAGAACTATGAGGGAAGACACGGACCACAACGACAACGCAAACCATCGTGACCTACCACGATCCCTCACGGGCTCGCAGAACCCTACGAAAGCCTATAAGCCCCTTTGCAACCCTCAAACCACACATAGAAATCATCTGCATCCACCCACCCCCACCCGCCCCGCAACACCCACACCCTACACCCCTGACAGCACCTCCCATAATCATCAACTCCCTCATCCCCCTCAGAAAGGAAACTCCTAACATGACGGCTCTATATATGGAAGATATTCATGACTAAGGGGGGTTGAAGGTTGCAGCGCTAGGGGAAGAACCCAACACGAGGGCCTCTATGATTGATTTCTTTGTTGATTGTCAAGTTACTTATGCGCTGGTAGGATGGGGTGCTTTCAATCCCTCAACCACCCCTCCACCCCCGTAACATTTACTCCTGTATATCATTTTAGTAAGAGGATTCTTGTAGCCCCAACTGTTTAATGAGGAAACTACTATAGCATGAGATAATTGTCAGGTTCTGGAATGCTGGGTTGGGATTATTTTTCTTCTTAACGCAGCGCAACCCAAACCCTGAACCCTAAACCGCATAAATCCTTGCCCCCGAAATGTCAGGGCTGCCCGGCATGTCGGCACCGCCCTCCGCGTCGCAGCCGACCTTCAAAACCTCCATCACATTTGACATGGTTTAGGGTTAGGGTTCAGGTGTAGGGGTCAGGATTAAAGGTTCCGGGTTGAGGGTTCAGCAATCCCTGTTTCACCCTAAACCCTAAACCCTAAACCCTAAAACCCAGACCCTAAGCCCTAAGTTCAGTTTTGTGGTTGAAGGAAATAGGGTTTAGTGAAAACAGATGCCTTTACAAACGCAAAGGATGCATGGGATTTATAGGGTTTAGGATTTAGGGTTTGGGGTTTAAGGGATCCCCTTTCTGGTTGTACAGGTTTTGGAGAAACGGCCACATGGAGGCAAGACATCTTCACTGCTGGTACTACCATACTTCGCAGTTTTGGGGTACCAAGCCTCACCCTAATCAGAATGGTGGTGTAGGGTTTAGGGTTTAGGGCCAGGGTGGGGGTAACTTCTCTTTCCCAAGAAACAAAACATGAGAAACGACCCTAAACCCTGGCCCTAAACCCTAAACCCCTTTCCCACTCATCTGCAAGCTACCCACTTGCAAAGGTCCCACGTGCCTCATCCCTCTTCGGCCTTGGAGCACATTTGGGTAGTGTTAGGGTTCAGGGTTTAGGGCTTAGGGTTTAGGGTTTAGGGTTCTTTGGTGGTTGTACCAAGTAAGGGGTTCCTCCTTTTCTAAAATGCGATGCTCACAAGAAGGCTAGAACCTCATAATCTAGATTAGCGACTATGCTATTACAGACGGAACTTTGGGAACTATGTCTTCCCCAGAAAATGCTACTCGTATGAGATACGCATGTTTGGAGAGTCAAGGTAACTTAGCAAGAAGGGCGGCAGTCTTTACATTTGGTTTGCTTCCACTACTGTAGGGCGATATTGTTACTACCTCGGGGTGCTCAACGCTCCAAGGTCTCGCTGCCGGATGCCTACTCATCAATCTTTACAGCCCCCCTACCCCACTGCCCAACGTGTAGGAAAGAAGGGGGCCACAGAATTGGCGGTCTGTTTCCGCGGCTCCAGATGTTTACCCTATATGAGGTATAGTCTAAACTCCTAGTATGCCCCTTAATATCCCCTACAATAGTCCTCCATATATTCCCCTATATAACCCCTTCAAGGAGTTTAGAATATAGCTCATATAACACTTAGATTCAAGAACTTCCAAATGTCCAGAAAGCCTCCCAAAGCTCCAATGTTTACATGCAGCAGCTTACATGAGTAGCGTTTTTTTTGGTG